GTCCCCGGCATCAGCTTTCCTCAGTTGCTCTCCCACTTTCTTATAGTAATCCTTCATTGTCTCTGCAAAAATCAAGAACCCAATTCCACATGCATTATAAAAACTCATTCATTGCTTAGTTTGTGGGAACAGAATAAAAAGATATAACTTGAGGTTCAACTTGCTTTACCTTTATCAAGGGCTACTTCAGTCTGTGTTGTGGCAGCTAGTTTTGCTAAGGGAGCCAATGCGTTGCCTTCCTCATCAAACTTAACCCTGGACCCAGATGGTCTGTGCGGATTGATCTTCAGCTTCTTCTTTTTCGAAACCCGAGTTCCTGGCCTGAAACTCAACAGGAAATTTTATTCACATAAACAGCATGGAAGATTGGATTGAACAAATGCAAATATACTACTTGGTATATGAAACCATACATGGGAACTTCTTCGTCCTTGGTTGATTTTTCTCCTTCCTTGCCCTCTTCATGTGGCTTGAGAGCAAAATCCTCTTCCTCCAAATCTTCACCAAGAAGATCTTTTTTAGCAACCAGAGGAGGTGCTTCAATATCCTGATCATTCTCGGGTTCCAGAGCGATAGAACTCGCAAGGACTCCTTTTTTCTTTGTTTTAAGGTTTGTGAAACGGATTCTAGGAGTCATTGGTAGACCAAGTGAAGCTGAAAAGTTATCAATAGACAGCTTCGTCACGTCGAAAATCTCTTTATCTCTTCTTTTGTAGATGGACCTCAGATATGTGATGAAGGCTCTCTGAGCAACAGCTTGAAGATCTGGAAACTTGACTAACAAAGCAGCCAAGAGTCTAGAAACCTCCTGCAGCTTTTGGTTGTTTGCCTGCGAGCACAAGAGTCTATTAAGTCAGATACCCGAGCTAGAAATTCTACCACAGACTGTAGCCACTCAAAGAAACTGAGGACATGATCTATTACCTTGATGAGTCTTACAGGTACTCTAGCTTCTTGTAATCTCTCAACCATTTTTTCCTCTGAAGGGGTCAGAAAGAGAAGCGACTTCCCTGATGTATTGAAACGAGCCGTACGACCAACTCGATGAATATAAGAAGCTACATCTTCAGGACAATCCACCTATTGCATAATATGAGAACGTCAAACTTCCGCTCGAGAAGATCATATTAGTTTTGTAATTCGGAATGTTCATACCTGAATAACCCAGTCCACAGCCTTATCAAAATCAAGACCTCTAGCAAGAACATCAGTACAAAAGAGAACTGATTGTCTCTCAATGAACTGAGAGTACACTCCCATCCTTTTCTCTTGACTCATTTTTCCATGAAGACTCTTCAAAGGTATTCCAGGCCGGAGCTTGTTGAATGCTTCATGAACAAATTTGACCTGACAAAAAGTGATTCTTCATGAATCTCTCAAGATAGGACAAAATAGCAGAACAGAACTACCTTTAAGTTTATTGTTCACAGAGGAAGATAGGTAAATCATCTAACCTGTTTTTTCGTGGACAGAAAAACAAGAATCCTGGAATTAAGATGGGTTTTGATGAAGCTCCATAACATGTCTAATTTCTGTTCAACTGGGACAATCAACACAGTCTGCTGTAAGCTAGTTGGAGTAGCTGTAACTGACTCTTCATGTACACTGAGGTACTCAGGATCTCTCAAACTGAGTCTTGCTAGATCTTTGACCTTCTTTGTTTGGGTTGCAGAGAAGAGCAAAGTTTGCCTGTGCTTAGGCAACTGTGAAATGATGGGATCCAACTGCCCCTTGAACGCAGAATCAAGAACCCGGTCGGCCTCATCTAAGATCAGAATCTTCAGGGGAAAAAAAAAAAACGTCTATGATGGATTTTGAACATGGTCTGCAATCTACACATTCTTAAGTTCATAAACTTGTAGGAAAAAATCAGCTGCTCTATCCTATCTCAAAGTTGGAATCCGCGAAAGGATTGAAGTTATAACATAGTCCTCTACGCCTTCAAGATCCCCTATTACAAGTTTATAACCAACATGCAATGCCCATATATATTATCTAGATGGAACGAGTTTACCCTCTACCAAATTACTTAGCAAACATGAAGATAGCTCTAAAAAATTAGGGTGATCAATACCTTGAGATTTGAACAGTCGAAGTTTGGAGTCTCATCCATGTGCTGAAGAAGCCTACCAGGAGCACACACCAAAATGTTCATATCATTAACTCGCTCCTTCTCGACGTCAACTCCTTCACGACCACCAATTAAGAGCCCCGCACTAAAATTATGAAACTTTCCTACTTTATTCAACACACTGAAAGTTTGAGCTGCCAATTCCCTTGTTGGTGATATAATTATACATCCCACTCCATCTTCAGGACTCCATCTCTCCCTGTTTAGCAGCTCCAGGATCTGAAACACACAAACCATCCATTAAAAATGATCACAAATCAAATACCAAATACCCACTAACATTACACCATAACATGAACGAGAGACAAAAAAAAAAACTTCCATATTTAGCAAAATAGAACCAAAAGTCTCTTTATCTTCTTCCCACACAATCGGAAAAATTGAAACTCACCGGAATAACAAAAGCGAGAGTTTTGCCAGACCCAGTTCTGGCGGCACCGAGAATATCTCTGCCACATAAGGCGTGAGGTATAGCAGCTCTCTGAACATCGGTCATATCAACGTATTTGGCACCTTTCAATCCTCTTTTCGTTTTGTCCGATATGGGTAACTGATCGAATTTCCTGACGCCGGCGTACCTGGAGAATACGGCGCCGTTTTTGCCGTCTTCGAGCAGTCCGATCTTGGAATCCTTGGGAAGAGGACCGAAAGAGAGTGGATTGGATCCTGAATCAGGTTTCTGAGATTCGATCCAATTGTTGAGAAGAGTGATTTCTTCGACTTCGTTGAGACGTATCTGCTTCTTCATTCCCCTAGTCTTAGGTCTTCCCATCTTCACAAACACGAAATTGAGAAGAGCGTCTGAGAAAGTGAAGCTGAGGAGGCTTAGAGATTGCAGGAGACGAGGAAAATTAGGGTTTTAGTATTTTGAATCAGAGAGAGGTTGTATTGTAATGTAGCAGCCAACAAGACTTGTAGGGTTTAACGATGACGATGTTATCCACCTTTTTCCTTTTCGGGTAAAATAAAACTCTTTTAGTTAGACAACTAAAGAGTTTTTTTTAGTTCTTTCACAACAATTGATTTAAATCGGTGCAAAGAGGTTAAAGATAAACCATTTGAAATTAAAACATTAATCCTAAATCAAAGGAAGAAAGACTAGATGGTAAGAAAGCTAAAAATGTCATACTCTGATTTGAAGTTTGGTCAATCCATTTGGTTTTCAATCATCTTAACTAAATTGGTTTCAAATTTCACCGAGCAAAATGTTTATCAGTAAAGCAAGACATCGCCTACAGAAATCCATCTTATTCACTGTGGAAAGAGGAAATACCTCTACAACTTCCCATTCAAACTGAAGAAGCACCGGCCATGGTTATCTAGGAGAAGTTAACATAAGGATAAATGATTGTATGCCATGAGAGATGAAGGATTCTTTTGATAATAATGACATGTTTGAGTTGGTGAAATCACCTAAAGGTAAGGTAAAAAATGAAGTTGCTTAATAAAATGGATGTACAATAGTATTACGTAGAGAACACTTTAAAAATTAAAGGGGAGGTCTTTCTCAATCTTCTTTTGATACACTGACACATGAGATATAGAAAATTATGGAAAATTTTGAAGGAATAGGTTTGAAGATGGCAATTTTTTCACACTCTTCTCCTTCTTCATCGATAAACGAGGCTTTTGTTATGTGCATCATCGGCTTACAAGTCCATTGCACATGAATGGCTTGGTTTTTTTCATGGAAATTGATCTTACACGATTTCCTTCGATAACAAATTCAGGATTATTAATTTGAGAATGCCATTCCAAATTAAGAACAAATAGAATTATAAATTATAGCTTTCTCCAGTTTTCCACAAAACTAATAAGAACTTTAAGTATTTATGGAGGATAATACAAACTCTCATTAATAAGAAAATAAAACCTATTTCGTCTTTCAAAGAGTTTCTGAGGGGTACTGTTGAAGCTGCCAAGAAAAGCTAGTTTGGGTTCTGATGGCTCCATTATCAAACAACTTGATGAGCATACAATAAATGCAATTTGAACACACAAGGAAGGAGCAGTGCGAAGATGACAACCCTCTCTTGAACAAATGAAGAAGTAATTTAAGTTTTATTATTAGAGAAAAGCCAAACGCACACCTCAAGTTTGTCAAACTCCCAGTCAAAATTCACATACAAATACAGAAAATCAAAGCTTGGTTGATTATAAATAAAAATTCACAAAACAATCTAACCAGTTCGTGTAGACCTGCTAGAAAACTTACCGGCGTCTCAGAGGGGAAAAACATATGGACCACAGTACTATTTTCAACTTCATCTTCCACGAATGGTTGATAGAAATCTGCAAAGCCAAATAAGAAGTGATATTATTATTAGTTGCATACATACCAAGGATAACATACAGATAATGCAAAATTTAGCTAGTAGAGAAATAAAACTCACAAGGAAGGCAATATTGGAACTTCATAACACGATCTTCCTTCAAATGCCTGAGAGCAGCTCTGCAGAAGATATACAAAGCTAAACGGAGTGCACCAGAACTGGTAGATTCAAACAATACATCTGTTTAAGACTACAGATTTGCAATGGCGAAACACACACATACATGCACCCTAAAGAAAAATCAATTAATATGCAGAAATGAAGGAACAAACAACTCATCACAATATCAAGTGAGGGATACGTGTTGCCATGTTCCAGGTTCCAATTTCAAATGTTATACCTCCTTTGCGTACAAACTAAGCAAACAATTTGAAAGTTCATCCTATCAATTTCTCTATCTCTGCAAGAAGAAGAAAGCAAAAGTAATTAGCAACTGTCGGTAAACAACCCAAGTAAGAATATCTCGTGACATAATCTCCGTCTCTCTTCTGATGAATGATTAATTAAGCCATCCTGACAAATGTGTAACATATGCAAGTAAAACAACTCATTGTACCTTTTTTCAAGCGGAAAGTAAGGGACCCATTCCATTTTCATGATTTTCTCCGATGCACTTGTAACCGATGTGAGTACTAACTTATCAGAAGGCGGAAAGGGTGATTCAAGCTGCATATATAGAATGTAACAAAGAAAAATAATATACGATCAGTGATAGCCCCAAGTAAACCGTTAGTAAAGATTTAGACGATGACTTACAGCAACAACTGTCGGGATATTGACAATTTTTACTACATCTCTGTAGTGGATAAACTGAGCTGTAGATATATAGAAAGAGACAATCAAACAGGAGCTAGAAACAAATGTTAAAGAAAAGGAAGAGAGAGCATATATACTTAAGCAAATTAGAAAGAACCACCATAAGTGCCAAAGATGATTTAAACAAGTTAAATGATAAGGAGAGACTACCAAAAATCGTACGTTCAATTTACGTTCTGGATAAGATACCTTTACTTCGTCCCCGAAGATGATTGAACGATTAAAAAAACTAGCAAAAATCTCAAAACAAGAAAAGGAAAAGAAACAATTTACGTTCTGGATGGACAAAAACAAAGAGTTTCTTCTTCCCATGGAGTATTCCTCCTTCCTCAAATGCTTCCTAACGAAGAAACATAAATCTATATAAGAATCTCGTC